CCAAATGTTAGTTTGCTTAATCGATACTACTAATACAGAGAATGCCTGACATTGGCAGGGTTCGAATCCCGGTGAGGGTGTTGATAAGGCCTAGACGAGGTCGAAACTGCAGTCCACTCCATTCGGGATGAGAGCAACTTTTTGGTAAAGCAAGACTATCATCGAAATTCAATAGAAAGCATCAGCTCTACTCATAAGCTTGTGGACAAAATCAACAACCAGTCCGTCATCACCTTACACAAAATAGGGTGGACACAATCCATTACTCTATTTAAGATTCGAGTTCACTTTGACCCTTTAAAGACCATGGCAACAGACATCTTCACTGTTGGAAAAGTGGGTTTCGAACAAACTTTCAACAAATTTCTGTTCGATTATCTTTCATGTATTTGTACGACTTTGTTTTCGCAACTTTGTCGCAGCTTCAGGCAGACTTTGTAGAACATACCAAGTCCTGTGTCTTCTGCCAAAGTATTTGTGATGTCTAGCGTCGGACGACTGACTTGGTACATTCTCAAACGTTGAGCTCGCCTCTTCAAACCAATTGAAAGGTACCCCAACAAAGAGACTCACTATTTCCCGCCCCTTCCAGCCCATCGGGTTGGGTCGGTGCCCACGTGTGGCCAGCAAAAAAGTGTACTCTCTCTTGCAGCATACTTTGCCTTCTACTTCTTTTATTCATTCTGCATTTCTCTCTCCCCGTCTCTCTTCGCCCATTTCAGGCATTCCGATGAGCCAGTCCAAAGACGAACAAAAGTTGCTACAGAAAAAGCTGATATTTTCACCGCCCCTGTAAATACTCGCCGGCCATAAATGGAGTTTCCCGCATCACTCTCTCTCTCTAGATGCCCCCCCTCTCACCCGTCCCCCTCCAGTCGAATAGGCGCGGCGTCATGTCAACCTGATCCTCGTGTCAGTCGGTGGGCTTGTCCGCATGTTGTCCAACCGCCATGCTTTGAATATTGGCCACCGTTCCCCTTCCTCCCCCCCCTCTTCAGTCTTGACTTTTTACCTTCATATACATAATAACTTGATCATCAAGCCCTGCTTTGACGGCGATCGGGACGGCTGGAACGGACAAATCAAAGTGTATAGTTTCCCAATCGGCTCTCGTCGAAGGACACACCTCAACACGCTCTACCCCCTCACCCCACCCCGATCTCCCGGTGTCCAGGGCGCTTGGAGAGCCCAGATTGCGTCGGCACGAGACCGTCTGGCTGGGCCGAGACGACTGAGACGGCAAAATGTGAAAGATCAAATCGAAGTGGACCTCCACAGGCCCGAACCCTACCACCGAGTCTTGAGGACAAGGCAACTGGATACCTCAAAAGGCCGACTCCGAATCCCACCTCTAAACTGGTCGCCCTCCCCCTCAGCACATCCGATTTATAAATCAAGGCAGAGCAGGCCTCGCCTCCATACCACCCCATAGCCCCCCACCTTCCCCATTCTCATGGCTGGCCTTGGCAGGTCACCTCCAATCAGAAGAACCCATCTTTTCGACCGTGTCCATACCTCTCGACCATATCCTTCCTCCCCTCACTCACCTTTTGCCTCCCCACCACCCTTCATCTTTGCTCCCACCCCCAACGGGGCTGGCCACCTCATCTCACCTCGTGATGGGTTATTTTTGTTACACCACTCGCATTCATTTCAGCCCAACAACCCACTTTGCCTCCGCCCACCCACACCACCCCCCTCACTTCGGCCAAGTACACCTTCGTCGTCCCCAGTCTTCCCCCGTACCCCATTTGTTAGTACCACTCTTACTACCTGCGCTTCTGCTATTTTTGATGCCATCGCCACAGTAACCATGAGTACCAAATGTTGAATCTAATATGACAACTTGTTAGAAGACATACAAATATGTTCACACACGCCAGGTCTGATGTATAAATATTTATACATAAGCCTTATTCCAGTTCTAATGTTGTATTGTTTCTATCGCCCGCGGGCAGATGCTACCAATTTCAAAAAGAACAGCAGCGGCTCTCTCCGAATCACTGCGCCTCGATCGCAATGCCCCCCCTCCCCGTTTCAGCCCGTCACACCCGCTTTCTCACACCGCCTGCCTTACAACTCAGGCACACGTTAATAGGATGTCACTTGTGCGTCACGAGAGCAGCGCCGTCATGTGAATGACGAAGCCGGTCCCCTCGAAGTATGCTCAGGCTGAAAAGGTGTCGACGGGGGTCGAAAGGGGACGAAAGGGTCTAAGGGGATGAAAGTAGGTTCGAAGGGCGTCGAAGGGAATTGAATATGTCAGCAGCGAAGGAGAGAGACCGGCGAAAAACTGGCATCCACAAGTCCACACATGAATTGATATATTTAAATGAATATATTTAAATGAATATATATAAATGAATATATATAAATGAATATATATAAATGAATATATTTAAATGAATATATTTAAATAAATATATTTAAATGAATATATTTAAATGAATATATAAAAATGAATATATATAAATGAATATATATAAATGAATATATTTAAATGAATATATTAAATGAATATATTTAAATGAATATATTTAATGAATATATTTGAATAAATATATTTAAATGAATATATTTAAATAAATATATTTAAATGAATATATTTAAATGAATATATTTAAATGAATATATTT